GGCTACTCTCTGCTCTATTGGCAGCGGCCATTTTAGTCTCTTAACATTCCCAAGGGAGCAGTGAATCCAGCATTCTGTTGTGCATGATGTTGGGGGGGTCTCCCTGTCAAACAGTTACTATTTCATAACACAGCAAATAAGGCTTCAACGCTGCCACAGTTTTGCAAAGAACTGACAGTGGATTCCTTTGAACACTGTAAACAGCTCCCCCGCACATACGTTGTTGGAGGCAGTATTGACGAAAATGGTCCTGTTGGCTGAGAGACGCATGCTTTGGGTTTGGGGCAAGGGGAGAAACAGGGGGAAATGACAGCTAGGAATATCCTGGGCCCTAAATTTAAGCAGAATGAAGAGGGCAGAGATGTGAGTGGAAAGTAAGGGGTAGACGACGCTGACAAAATTTGATTTTGGAGAGGTGTGCACAGAATCCTTTAGAGACAGGGATGAAGGGAAGAGCCTGTGGTTAAACCGCTGTACTGCAGCCAAAACTGTGCTCACGACCTGGGGGTCAATCCCAGGTAGCCAGCTCAAGGTTCTCAGCCTTCTATCCTTTCAAGGTCGGTAAAATGAGAACCCAGCCTGCTGGGGGGGCGTGGCAATGTGTAGCCTGCATAATTAACTTGTAAACCGCCCAGAGAGTGCTTGAAGCACTATGGGGCGGTATATAAGCAGCACGCTTTGTTTTGTTTTTTGGTACTCAGTTTCAGTCCTTCAGACCCAAGTGATAAGGCAGTCCAGCCTAATGGTTCATAAAGCACAGGTATTCTGTGTCCTTTGTCCTGTGTAGCAGGTAATTGATGTGTACAGATCTCCAAAGTTACTCAAGCCATTTAAATGGACAAAGCATATGGGGCTCAAGTATGCAGCCCCCTCCCCAAAAGTGGATGCATACACCCCTCTTCACTCTTAGCTGTTTCTGCCTTGTTCTCTGAGATGGAAAAGGATGATGTGTGAAAAATTAAGGACAAAGGGAGGATGCTGATGTTAGGATCTTCCCCTCCCCTTGCGAATCGCACAGCAGCTAGAGGCATCTGACACAATTGGCACACTGTGGTGGAGGGGACTGTGGGCTCCCTGCAGGAACCAAAGCATTGCAGACAAGAATCTCGGTCCCCCAGGGAAGATCTAGGACGCTTTGCCTCCAGGTTCTGTCCAACAAGGGCATTCATTGATCCAGGAATTTCTCGGCGCTTAAGAAGATGCCCTGCTGCTGCTCAGACCAGTCTCCTCCTGGGCCACACTTTGATGGCTCCCTGGCACAAGCGACCTCCCGCTTCCTGCGTGTGACCAAGTTGCATGGGCTGCACTATATGGGCTCACGCCAGCAGTCATGGGCACAGCGCCTCCTCTGGACAGGAGCCTTCCTGGCCTCCGTTGGGTTGTTGTGTACATGGTCAACCAACCGGATGCAGTATCTACGCTCAAAGCCAGTGCACACCAGAGCACACATGCTCTGGGACCCATGGATGCCATTCCCAGCGGTCACCTTCTGCAACCACAACCCAGTCCGCTTCCTCCAGCTCACAAGACCTGACCTGTATTCAGTGGGGCACTGGCTGGGACTGACCTACCAGAACCACTCTTTGGTTCCCAGTATCCTGGAGGAGCTGCCGGAAGAGCAACACCCCTGGCTTATCCACCTGGCCAACTATTCAAGGTTCCTACCCCCGCGCCTCTCTCCACACACTATGGAGAGCTTCTTCCATCGCCTTGGCCATCAGATTGAGGACATGCTCGTGGAGTGTCGCTTCCAGAGCAAATCTTGTGGGCCCCAAGACTTCACTCCTGTGAGTGGTTTCCATTCTGTACCTTGTCTTGTGTGGGGTGAGGGTGGCAGCATCAGGCTCTAAGGATGCAGAATCAGAATGATAGAAAGCAGCTTAATTAGTCCTTGAAACCACCAAAGCACTGCTTTGCATGATGTGCACTAGCACAAAGCATTGGAGGACTTGTTCATTTTTTGTGTGCATTCTTAAAAAGCTATGGGGTGATTCTCTGCTATTTAAATAGCTTGGGTTGGGGCTGGATGTGGGGCTAGAGATTTGATTTTTGTGAATGTATACAGAATCAAAGGGTCTGAAGTATTATGCAGTTTATTAGCATGCCACAAAGGAAGCAGGCTGCGCCCTAGAGGACAGTAGCAGCAACTAGACCAGAAAAATGGGTGATCCATTTGCAGAGCTTGGAAAAGTGACTCTTTTTGTACTGGAACTCTCAGAATTCTTCAATCAACCTGGCCATACAGGTTTGGCCCTTGAGTGGGGCAGCTGTCTCTGGTAACTGCTTAGATGTCATGCAGGGATAGCAAACATTTAATTTGTTGTTATTATATTTTTTTGTTGTTGTTGCCAGCAGGGCAAGAGGAATTTGTGGAATTTTCAGAATAATTTGGTATAGTGTTATAATCCTTGAGTACTATGCCCTTTTATTTTGGAGAGGGGTAACATTTGCTTACCTGCCTCAAGAAGCAAAATTCCTTCAGCCATCTTTTCTGATTAATTTAACTCACAGGCCTCTGGGATCAGGACCAACAAGTCCAGTCCCCCACCTGCCTGCCTGTCTGCCTTCACCCAATTCACCTGTGGAGGTTCCTGAGATTGATGGGGAATCATAGCAAAAAAAAGACAGGGGATCTCATGGAACAGCCCCAAAGTAACAGGCTGACTCCTTGGAACAGGGTTACCAGGTGACAACCTGGAAAACAACATATCTCAAAGGCTGAGAGTTGTTTTTTTAACTGCAAAGGATGTGTGCCATTGTGGGAACACTATGAAATCTAAACTTGGATTTTGACATGCTGCTAAAAGATGCAGGTTTCACTTTGGAAAGAAAATACAAAACATGATATATAGGTTAAGCTTCCATTTCGGTTTTGTTTTTCTTGGCAATCCATCTTGCTTCTCCCTAGTGTCTCAACAGCACTCAAGTTGCACCTATTATCTTCCTTAATATACAACTTATTTGTTTGGACATAAACTACAAGTTCCATGTGGTTTAGTGCACTGAACTGGATAATGCAGTTTAATGTGCTGAACGATACCATAATCAAGACATGGTGTGTCTCTGATAAACACAAAGGGGGAAGTGGTTTCTCAGGATCGTTTCTGGAGAGTGGTTGGGCTTTTTGAGTCTTCTGTTTGTTAGAGGGGCCATCATTGTTGCTTGGAGGGGAATCAGACCCTGTATCTCATATCTGAGAGGTTGAAGGGGATTATCTTTAGACTGGATGCTCTCCCATTTAGGGATCAAGTTCCTAAATGTGGGGATCCTTCTGGACCAGGCTCTTTCTTGGGACTCCCAGACTGCAGCCATGTCCAGATATGCTTTTAACCAAATGAGGCTTAGCACCCAATGCCAGCCCTACCTAGGTGAGGGCTCCCTCAGGATGCTGATGCAAGTACTGGTCATCTCCTACTGTTGCGATGCTCTCTATGTGGGGCTTCCCTTGAGGCTGACCTAGAGATTACAGCAGGTCCATAACACAGTGGCCAGATGGGTGACTGGAGTGAGCAAATTTCACCACGTCACTGCAGTTTTGGCTCAGTTTCACAGGTTGCCCATTGTGTCTTGGATCATGTTCAAAACTTGGATGCTCATGTAGAAAGTCCTTCACAGTTTGAGGCAATGCTACTTGTCAGAGCCTCTCTCCCCAATGTCATATGCCTGACCCAACATATCCTCCAAGGCGATACTCCTCTGGGTGGCCACTCCAAGGAAGACCCAGAAGTCGGGCCTTCTTTGTTGTGGCTCCGACTTTGTAGAACCAGCTCCCGCTGGAGCAACACCTGACTACCTCCCTGTTAATGTTTAAAAGGCAGCTCAAAACAGTGCTTTTCAGGGAAGCTTTCCACAATGATCCTATTTGATGTCACACCTTTTGCCTTTGCTCTTACAGAGATAATGCGGCTTCATACCATTGGCTTCATTTTTCATTGTTTTTATTCCTTCTGTTGTTCATTTATACGTATATTGTTATATGCGTTTATTTTACTTTGTTGTGGACTGTCCAGAATAAAGTGCATGCACAAATGGGGTGGTATATAAATCAAAGAAATAAAATCAAATACATGTTTATCTTTTTCTCATTATTGTCCATCTCAGCTTTGCCCCAGTACCAAGAGGCATTATAAGACAGGTGCATTTTTCATGCCTCTGTCCCACCCTGTGATTTCCAACGATCAGGTACAATTTCTCCACTAATGAGACACAGTGTATGTCACAGAATCATAAAAGCTCTCCTCCTAGTTCAGATAAAAGATCCCACCTGTCTCACATCCCCTTTCTTGAGCTGGCCACACAAATGTTTCTGGAAAGCCGACAAGTCGGCCATGCCCTCTTCTTGTTAATGATATGAAATCATAAGAACATTTGAAAATTCTTGCTGGATCAGACCAAAGGCCTATCCAGTACAGCAGCCAGTATTTCCACAGTGGCCAACCAGCTGTCCATACAAGATACACCAGCAGAATGTGAGTGCAACAAAACCCTGTCATTGTCATTCCTCAACCACTGATATCTATAGATCAAGACCGGGGAAGGATTGGCCCTTCTGATGGTTGGGATAACAGGCAGCTCTCACAATGCCTCTCCGTTGGCTGTGATAGGAGCTGTTGAATTGAGTTGTAGGCGGAAACAGCTAAAGAGACAGCGATTTCCCATCCCTGGTATAAATATGGTCAACTGCAGAAAATCTGTCACTAGCTAAAACCTATATTTAAATAGAATTAAAACAAATTAAAACAAGTAGTATCTCAGGCAGTAGAAGCACTAATAAAAGGTGGCTTTAAATAATACTGTTTCTCCTAATTTCTTCAAAACTGAGAGGCAAGGTGCCTGATGAACCTCTGCTGGAAGCTTGTTCCAAAGGGATAGGGTTCATGACTATATATACAGTATATGGACTGTGAGGAGCAGGTGAGTTGGGTAGCTGTTTTGTGGGAGAGACATTCAGAGAAACCTCATGTTATGATTGTTTCCTATAATCTGTCCCTTCTCCACAGGTCTACACACGCTATGGGAAGTGCTACACATTCAACGGTGACCGAAACAAACCACGAGTGACTCGCCAAAGTGGGATGGGCAATGGGCTGGAGCTCATGTTGGACATCCAACAGGAGGAGTACCTTCCCATCTGGAGAGAGACCAGTAAGAACTGGAATTGTCCTGGGTAGACACTAAAGGGAAGACATTCTGGAGTTATCAGTTAAACTATGCCCTCAACCTTCCCTCTGTCTACACCAGTCTTCATTCTCCTGGCACATGATTCCTTCTGATTACATTGCAGATATCATTGTAAAGCCCCCCAAAGCCTTTGGGACAGTCAGATGAGTGGCTAACAATAGTATGTTGGAAAAAAGGCAAGGACACCAAATTATAGGTGGTAGATACTCAATGAGAAGAATGCCACATGTGCTCCCACTTCTCTCACCCTCAAAAATATTTTTTTTCTAATTTAGGTGCTTGTTATGAGCTAGCAGTTTGAAAGCATATAAATGCAAGTAGATGAATAGGTACCACCTTGGTGGAAAGGTAACAGCATTCCATGTCTAGTCATGCCAGCCATGTGACCACAGAAAGTATGTACGAACAAATGCTGGCTCTTCGGCTTACAAACAAATGCTGGGTCTTCAGCCCCTAGAGTCAGACACGACTAGACTTAATTGTCAAGGTGAACCTTTACCTTTACGAGCTGCTAGCTTGCTTCTTAGAGCCTGTCTCCACATTCTCTTTGGAGCAGGCTGGAGCAAGCTAAATATGGTTGCTATGAGGCCTGGTCTGCCATCTGTTGTGATCCTTACATCCAAGTGGCATACAAATCTGAAGCTCTGGGGAACTTTTCACTTAAGAATTTGTCTGCAGAGACAGTCATATATGTACACAACAGCAGTGCGTATAAAGACAGTCTACAGAGCCAAAGATAACACATAGCTATACTGTACAGGAAACACACAAAGAACCATAAAATGAATAATTTAAATTGGTATTCCTTTGAATTTTCTTTCCCAGGAACTTCCTTTGAAATTTCTTTCTAAGTGATAGTACTTTGAAATTCCTTCAGGAAAATCCTGAATTTTGTTTTATTGTTATATGGTACCTTTGTTCTAGCAAAGGTAGGGAAGGTAATACCTTTATGTATTTCAGACAATTGCTGTTTTCCCATGGTTCATTGAGGAACACTATATACTGGGCTTTGCTATGCATATGAAATAGGTACATTGGCTATCTTTATATAATGGCAACATTCTAACGCAGGGGTCTCAAACTTTCTTAAGCCACTTCACAATATGGGAAATACAAGGGTCTCAAACATTTTTAAGCCACTTCACAATATGGGAAATTCCAAGAGAAAGGTTCACTTTGGTTCATTTCCATTGATCACATGTGCTAGAAACAAACCAATAGAGAATGATTCTAACAGCACAAAAAAAGTAGAAGCCTTTGACAGGAGGCAGACAGACACTGGTAGGAATGCTCTTGGGGGTAGGCTAGTTCACTCCAACAAAGACGTCATCTGATCATCAGCTTCAAGAGTGAACCAGCCTGTCCCCACAATGATCCAAACAATGGGCTTAATGCCTGTGTAGTCACTTTCTGACTCACAGTGAGCCTAACAGAGTTTTCAAGGTATGTGAAATTATCAAGGAGTAGTTTAACCATTGCTGCCACCCACACCAATTAATTTCAGTGGAGGAGTGCAAATTTGAATCCAGATTTCTTCAGTTCTAAGCCAACACAGCAGCAGTAACAACAATGCAGGGAGGGGGGGAGGAGAATGCCATGCTTTCTAGTAACTACGTATAAGGAAACATTTCACTTTTTTGGCTATTCCTGTTGTAAGTTACTTGCTGGTTGGTTGGTTGGTTGGTTTTTAAAGGCCTCTGCTCTTAAACTAATTGGAGGGGAAATTTTCCTTATATCCACAGAGGGCACAAGGGGACTTTCTGAGAAAAAAAACTACAGTATAAGTTTTTTAAACCAAAAAGTTTAAATGTTTGGAGCCATAGACTGCACTTTGTTGACTCTCTTCTACACCCTGTTCAAATTGTTCAGAAAAGCAATACTTGAATAACATGAATATTTACAACAACTATCTGAACATTTCAGTGATTGTTATGCATTACATTAAGAAATTCTTGCAGTTACAAGGCTCCTTGGTCTGCACATATCATCACGTCAGATGCATCAACATCCATTGTGATGGAGTCTATGGAAACTGGTGCTCTTGGTAGCATGCTCATAATCTTGGGAAAAATGGAGTAAATAGCAATAACGGAACCTTTGTGTTTTGTGAATCCTTGAAAACTAACGGGAACCCTTGGTAAAGCAAAAAGCAGCTGCTTTCAGAGTTCTTGGAAAGGCTAGGGATGTCTAAATGCAAAACGTAACACAAATGGATTTATTTTGCTCAAATCAAGCTAAACTAACTGGTGTAACAAGAATAACTTTTAACATTTTCCTCTTCCCTTTGTGTGTGCAAATGTCTGTTTATTGAGTCTATCCTCTATGCATCTGAAGAATGGGAGCAGTAGTCATTGGCTAAAATCCTGTTGCTTAGAATAGGGAATCGCAAGTACCTGTAGAGTCATTGAAATCAGTGGAGATTTACTGGATCAGCTCCTCCATAATTTCCATTGCTACAATGGATGTACTTTAATTGTGGGTTATTATGCTAAGAAACAGGATTTCAGCTGGTAGCAACTTACGTTAAATAACATTTCTTCATTTTAAAGATGCCGCAAAACATTCTGTTGGTAAATTAATTATGGCACGATTGCTTCCAACTGCAGATGAGACATCATTTGAAGCAGGGATTCGAGTACAGATCCACAGCCAGGATGAGCCACCCTACATCCACCAGCTGGGTTTTGGAGTCTCTCCTGGCTTCCAGACCTTTGTATCATGCCAGGAACAGCGGGTAAGAGCCATAGGGCAGAGAAGGTGGGAAGCTCCAGGTTCAGAAAAAGTGGGGGCTGGAAATGGGCGGTAGCATCTGAAAATGAGGAGAATCAGGCAAGGTTGCATAGCTTCTGGTTCTCCAGATGTTTGAGACTACAAGTTCCAGAATCCTTTACCACAGTGGTCCCCAACCTTGGGCCTCCAGATGTTCTTGGACTTCAAATCCCAGAAATCCTGGCCAGCAGAGGTGGTAGTGAAGGCTTCTGGGAATTGCAGTCCAAGAACATCTGGAGGCCCAAGGTTGGGGACCACTGCTTTACCACTAACAGTACTGGCTCTGGTTTCTGGTATTTGACATCTGGAAGGCACAAGTTTCTGCCCCCCCCCCAGCAGAAAGAGAGATCACTCTGACATTGGCAAGGTAGCTTACACCACCAGCCACAATAGCACTGAATAGAAAGATCAATATAAACTCTTTTCAATGCATGCTTCTTCCTAGACTCCCTCCATGAGCAGACATAGGTGGAAAGGAGGCGGGGAGCAGCTTTAATGATGTACTAATCAAAGCAGCTAATAATGAATACCAGTAAAAATAAATATATGTTAGAAATTAGTAGGGTTCTTATTTGGTCTGTTTTAACCAGACAGATTGGTTGGGGGAAGGGGATAACCTCTGTTGAGGAACACAGGGTTTTCACTGAGCTGTTAATACTTTTCTTAACAGTGGAGTTCCCACCCAAATCCAGTCCACCTGCATGAGCTGGATGTGAGCTATTGTCATAAACTCCACTTACCACTTCATACGCTAGACCTATATGGACCCTTGTTTGCAGAGAGGTTAAATAAAGCAATGGCTCTATCTGTGCACAGCCACATAACACATCTGAATGTTTGAGCCTGTCCACACTGGCATATAGTTATGGTATGTGGTTCCCCGATAGCACCGTTTTGCAGGACAAAAAAGACCTTGTCCACTTGTGTTTCTACCGGTTCCCCGATAGCACCGTTTCGCAGGACAAAAAAGACCTTGTCCACTGGTGTTTCTACGTAAAACGATCCCCTTTAAGAGCTGGCCCATATCTTTCTGGCACAGGGTTAGGGTATGCAATCTTTTGGGCTCAATTCATTGAGATGCAAAATGGCTCTTCCTTGTGCCTTCACAGATGGTAACCCAAAGTTCGATTCATTGAGATGCAAAATGGTTTTGTTGTGCCTTCACAGATGGTAACCCAAAGTTAAAATAGGTTGCACTGAAGATAAGCACTGGCCAGATCACACCAAATTTCATAGTGTGGACACATCCTTAGTCAGGGCACTAAGCAGCTCTTCATCTAACTCTACTGCAGTTTGAGGAAGCCACTGTAAAGTTCTAAAGAGGGTTGTGTTTTTATTATTGTCCTTTTTCTTTTCCAGTCCTCTTTGTCATCTGCACTATGGTGCTTAATTGTTTTAATGGTTATTGCCTCTTTTCAAGGAACCATGGCAAATATAATTTAATAAAATAATAAGGGTCTCTGACAAAGAAACCTCAGGCTTTCAAGAAACTACAACTCCCAGAAATCCCAAGAGAAAGCTGTGAAGGTTAAAATGGTATAAAAGTAATACGATTGTTAAATGTAAATAGACTCTAGGAGAAAAAAAATTGATGACGTTATTAATGGTATCTGAAGAGGTGCCTAGATGACTGATTCTTTGAGCACTAAGAACTGAGGGAAAGCCTGAGATAGTAAAATACAATTCCAATAATCAGAGTAAACTGTGCATGGTGACTTCAATCAAGAAGCAAAAATCTTATCCAAGACTCTGTTCTTTGAGAAGACTCTCTTTATCAGACACCGCATTCATTGCATTAAACTCTGCCAGTTTCCCGATTCCCTCCCCTCCTCTTCCCTCCATCGTCAGGTTCAGATTAAACTCCGCTGATGCCACCAAGCTTTGTTTTAATTTTAGCTCAGTCTCAGCATTCGGCAGAGGGCAATCTGAAAGTGTTCGTATTTATCAACAGATTGGCATATGCAGATGAACAAATCCTCCTTCCTGCGAGCCAGGTGGCAACTCTGATTATGCATCAAAAGCTCCGTTTCTAGCCTCAGAGAGCTCCCTGGCATTACAATGAAAGGAAACGTTCGCAGTAAAAAAAATATTTTAAAAATTGAAGTCAACATATTGTCACTTGAAGGTTCATTTCATTTCCTTCTGTCAGCATCTGCCAGAAGGAGGTTGATTGGTTACATCAGGTAGGCTTTCTCATTAGATATTGATTACAGAGAGGTACACGGGCCAGTCCTCTGCCTTTTCAGGGCCAGTGGCTTAGGATCCACACCTAGCCCATTTCAAGTCATCAGAGGACACATCACAAGGAATGGATAGCAAGTACTAGATATGTTACCACTGCAATAACCCTTACACAATAACCCTTACACAACAACCCTGGGACAACAGTACTATCATCCTGGTGTTGCATACAGGGAGAAGAAAGAGTATGGAGGTTGTGGGAATTCTGCGGTCACTAAGATAACTTTGAACTAGGAGCTTCCTCAGCTCCAACAGTTGGCCCCTGCACTAGCTCTCTGCAAAGAACTATTCTATTCCAGGGTGCTTATATCCATTCTGCAAATCCATATTGAGAGTGTAATAAAATCCAGAATATAATAAAACTACTTGACTCTGGAATGTCAAGCAAATCTGTAAAAATCAGATGCTACCATTTTTCCTGATAACCTTAATATGGAGTTCATGGATGGTGCCTCAGGCATGAGGTTGAACTTTCCTCTGAACAGGGCTAAGAAACAAGCACCAGTAAGGTTACTGACAGCAGAGCTTCTGGGCATAGTGTGTACGTG